AGTAATATGAGATGTATTCACCCTATTTCGTCTAAGGTGATGAAGGACTGGTAGTAGAATTTTCCCACAACGACATGCGTAAAGCCGATTTTTTCCATCGAATTTCAACTCATATCATTGTGGAAAAATTCTACCACCAGTCCTTCATCACCTTACACGAAATAGGGCGAATACATCTCATATTAATGATTTAGTGGTAGTCTCGAAACTCTACTCCAATACGAAAATACACTGTCATATTACCATTACCTACCGGAAAAGATCTTCGTGTACTATTCCACAAAAAAAATGCTGCAAATTCTCACTCTTTAATGAACCCGGCAGCCAGACCACATGACCTAAAGAGCCACTCGGCGCAAGCCTCCACGAGGCAATCTTGTCTTGCTGTGATGACGTCTTGATACATTCATTCAGTGCCGATGGCCTGTAGTCTGGTTCTCTAGAGCAGATCTCCAGGCTTATTTGGTGCTATTTACTTGATATATCAAAAAGTATTTGTAGGTCAGGTTATAAGTGAACGCAACCACTTTGTCAGAAGATGTATTCCTGACTACATTTGGATACCACAAGCAAGTTGCTCATACGAGGTCAGATCATTTCTCTCTACAGCAAAGGGAAACTTCGAGCAAAATAGAGATCAAGCTAACTTGGCATTACCAGCTTCGAGAAAGTGTCTGATTTCAACCCACATAAGCATAATGGAATAATTTCTTTGAATCTGGCCTTTGCGACCCGACTTCTACATAACAATTGGAGGTATCCCAGTCAAATTGGTACGCATGACTCAGTCTGACAAGTGTTGTTTTGGCATAGCACCTTCGGTAGATTTCATTGATTTACGAGTATGTCTGTAATTGGCGCATTAGATTAGCGAAAGCTTAGTCTTCTCAGAAATAAGCATAGGTGAGGTTAGCCAGAAAGGCTGCGTCTCTGTTGCGATGGCCACTCGGCCTACAATGGAGCCTTAGTGACTATCCCTAATAATCTTCACTGGTTGTTGTCATTACTTGTTTGTTTGCCTCTTTTGTCAAAATCTCGAGCTGCCAAGATTTGGCCTTTTCCGTCGACTTCGGTTTTGGCAGAGGCATTGGCAACACGCCGAAACGGTACTCTGAGACACTTGTTCCCCCTTCTACTAAAGCTGCTATCTTGCCCCGGCGAAGTGGCCTCGCGAAGGCCTAGAGCCTGAAGGTGTGAGACAGTTGATTGCAAACATCAAAGGCTTCAACAAAGAGGCGATATGGGGGGCAGCAACTGGGCAAACTACACTGGTGTAAGGGACGTTTATTTAATTTTTGTGTACCTTGGACAAGGAGGAATTAAAAGTAGGAAAAAACTTCTTTATCCGCCCGGCCTTGGCGAGCCAATTCGCGCGCCGATTCGGTTGTCCGGTTGAGTTGAATAGCTTGGCCTGGCTCTTCTGCCCTATCCCAGTTGTCCGACTGTCTTTGTTCTGTCGTACACACACGCACACACATACATACACGAGCACATGTGGTGATGCCAACGCCTCAGGGACTGGGGCGCGAGGTGGGATAACCCATTCAACCAATGCGGGGTCAGCTGGCCGACAGATTGAATGCATGTGCCTTTGTGTCTGGGTGCAGGTTTCGTGTGAGCCTGCGGGTGCGTAAAATGGGTACTCTTGTGTCTGGAGTGGTTGGTTTTGGGGACTTGGACGACGGTCGAGATGGTGACCGGAGATATTTCCAACAGAATTTTGATAGCTGTCAACGCAGCCTGACAGGTTTGGTATGTCAACTCGCCAAATGGACGGGCAAAGGGGGCAGAAATAAACGCAATCTTCCGTGAGGAGAGAAGTTGCAATGGAAGGAGGGAAACACGGGGTCGGGAAGGTGGGCGGCTGGTCACAAAGTCTTTTTAAGGCGTGAAGTTGAGACCACGCGTCGCCTGAACACACCGACTGGGCCGAACAACTGGTTTTTCGACTCCCGGAAGTTGGGTCTTGGGAGGCGAGAGGGAGACGAGCAAGGCCAAATCACTGCAACCGAAGCTGGCAGCATGAATGGGCCATGCCAGCGCCAAACAATGACCAGACAAGCCAAGAGTGAGGAGAACGAAGCGGACCTATACAGCCGACACGAGTCGGAGCGGAGGGCTGTAGCACCAAGACTGAAATAAGTCTTCGTCTAGTCAACACAATGAAAGTTAATTCAATGAAAATATCAATCGGTACAGATAGCCGAATAAAATAGAAATAT